AAAATATTTTACTCAACCTATAAACAGAATGCGCACGCACTCAACACGTTCAAGTTCATTGCGTGCACTTTGCAAACTTTATTATGTATTGAAACATCAGAATTATTCAGATATTTTTGTGTTAAAACGCAAAGAAAAATATTATATAAAAGATTGAAAGTGAAATTTTAGAGTAAAGTTTAAAGGGACTGTAAGCGTGATTTCAATTGACCCTGTACATTTATATAGTGGCTTGTCCGTTTTACAATGGACCCTTGAAAGCATGTCTAATGTAAGAAAGAATGAATCCATGATTTCTTAGTTTTTGTTTTTTAAATCGTGGTTTCTCTTCAAACGTAACTTCTGGATTTTTTGATAAAAAAAAACAATTGTAAGAATTAAACACTTTTCAATCAAGAAAACCAACAATATCTTCCACATTTTTGATGAAATAATGGTCGAATAAAGGGAACCGTCATGGGCCTGACATGGGCCTACAGATGTACATCATAAATAAAAAGAAGTTCAAAAAAAATGTCCATAAATGAAATATGGAAAACACAAAGAAAAGAAAAGTTTTGAGACTTTAGCAAAAAAAGATAAAGATTGATCATGATGCAAATTAAGGAATTAAAGGAGACGGAATTATACAGAAACTTGATCTAAAAGTGGACAAGAGACCAGAGACTAGAAACTTGATCTAAAAGTGGACAAGAGACCAGAGACTAGAGACTTGATATAAAAGTGGACAAGAGACCAGAGACTAGAAACTTTATCTAAAAGTGGACAAGAGACCAGAGACTAGAGACTTGATCTAAAAGTGGACAAGAGACCAGAGACTAAAGACTTGATATAAAAGTGGACAAGAGACCAGAGAATAAAGACTTGATCTAAAAGTGGACAAGAGGCCAGAGACTAGAGACTTCATCTAAAAGTGAAGAAGAGACCAATGATTAGAGACTTGATATAAAAGTGGAGAAGAGACCAGAGACTAGAAACTTGATCTAAAAGTAAACAAGAGACCAGAGACTAGAGACTTGATCTAAAAGGGGACAAGAGACCAGAGACTAGAGAATTGTTCTGAAAGTGGACAAGAGACCAGGGACTAGAGGCTTGATCTAAAAGTGGATAAGAGACCAGAGACTAAAGACTTGATATAAAAGTAGACAAGAGACCAGAGACTAAAGACTTGATCTAAAAGTGGACAAGAGACCAGAGACAAGACACTTGATCTAAAAGTGAACTAGATATATAGAGACTAGAGGCTTGATCTAAAAGTGGATAGTACAGACAAGAGAAAGAGAGAAGAGGGTATAGTAAAGTTAAATATAAAGTTAGATTCTTACTCTTAGCAAATATAAAAATCTTATCTAGATATCTAGATATATATCTACAGTGGTAGGCAATTATATCAATACAATGAAGATGACGTTTATAAAAGGGATAGAGCTAGCTGGGTGAATTAGGACGGAGAAGGATGGAGACGGTTTTAAAAGGGATAGATCTAGCTGGGTGAATTAGGACGGAGAAGGATGGAGACGGGTTTAAAAGGGATAGATCTAGCTGGGTGAACTAGGACGGAGAAGGATGGAGAAGGTTTCAATATAGAACGGAGTAGGGTTGAAAAGGCCGGAACCGTTAAAGTTTGTGTTCCTGACTCAGAGATTTTCTTTGATCTTTACTCTGCCATTGTTCTGATATATGTATACATAGATTTACATAGATTGGTTCCAGGATAACAGGATAGATCAGGATAGATCAGGATAGATCAGGATAGATCAGGATAGATAAGGATAGATCAGGATAGATCAGAATAGATCAGGATAGATCAGGATAGATCAGATAGATCAGGATAGATCAGATAGATTAGGATAGATGAGGTTAGTTTAAGACAGAGGTTTTAAGCGGAATTTCTCGTGAATTGTTGTTGTACCGTTACGACTTCATTCTAATGGTACCGTACCGCCATAATTGTTCTTGTACCGGCCCGAGTTTGGTTGAATGGTTTGAGAGAGAGTGATGGTTTTCATAGTTACGGATGGTTTCAACCAGTTGGTTTTTCAGCTTACACCTGAAAACAACAAGAACCATGAGATAGAAATATATTTTTAGTGATGAAGCAAATTTTAGGTTTTCTCCAAACCAAATAATGGTTTCTCTAGATAATGTGATCATGGTTTAGATAAACAGAATTATGGATGAGGACGATATAAAGTTAAATCCGGACGAGTGGCTCCGATATGACGAGTACACTGTTGGATTTATGTCGGACGATGAACTTTTAGAACATTTTGAAATCCAGGGGCCTGGACCCCCGAGTGCAAATGTGAATTTTTTCCTGCCCCCTCCCCCCATTCCAGGCAGCAGGCAGGACTGCATCATGTTCTCTAGTCATTTTGATACTTGCAGTAGTGTACAGGTACGAATAGATATATATAAAGTAGTGTAAATATATGTACGGTTACATATATGTACAGTGGTACGGTTAGGTATTTGTACACTGTAAAGTAGTTTACAGGTACAGTTGGATAATTGAAAATAGTGTACAGGTACGGTTAGATATATCTAAATTAGTGTAAATATATGTACGGTTAAATACATGTACAGTTATACGGTTAGGTATTTGTACACTGTACACTGTACACTGTACAGTAGTGTACAGTAACACATAAATATATTATAGATTCTTGAAAAGATTCTATATATACTTTCCAAATACCATTAATAAGAAAATAAACAAATTAAAAAAATGAAAAGCAAAGAAGATGAAAATACAAAACAAATATTGAATTGATGATTTCCAACTGAAACTGACCGTTTTTGTTCTGAAGTTAACATCGTGTTGAAACGCCCAAAAATTAGAAAAACCCTGATAAAACCTATTATTGGAAAACCTCCAAAATTCTTCAATGAGTGAATTGGTTTGAACAAGAAAAAATTTTAAATCTGTATTTGCTGCGTTTAGTTTTCTGTTTTCTGTTTTCTCTTTTCTGCATTTTGTTTTTCTGTTTTCTGCATTCTGTTTTTCTGTCTCTCTGCGTTCTGTTTCTCTGTTTTTTGCATTCTGTTTTCTGTTTTCTCTTTTCTGCAGTCTGTTTTTAGCTGTCTGCACTCTGTTTTTTTTGCTTTCTAAATTCTGTTTTCTGTTTTCTCTTTTCTGCTTTCTGTTTTACTGTTTTCTAAATTCTGTTTTCTTTTCTACGACTTGAAATCTGTTTTTCTGGGGTTGGATTTTTTTTGCCATTTGAATTCTGTTTCAAGAAAACATTAATTGAGAATATAGAATTTAAAATAGTTTCCAAAGTGTAGGATTTTACATTTATTGAAGTACATATAACGATGTAGAGCTAAAACTAACTGCACTTCAAATTGAAAATAGCAAAACGAATTCATTCCTTGCAATTTTTGCAATAACTAATGCAGATTCTGTCTATTCAATGTTCAAATGAAAAGTAATTAGATTACAAATGTCTAGTTAAATAATGCGGTTTTACTTAATTCCTATTTTTTATAATTGTTTATTTTTATTTTTGTGAAACTAATCATTGGAAATTATTAGAATAACGAATGAATATATTTATAGTAGATTATTTTAGTACAGCTCTTTTTTAAATAAATGTTTTTTGCGTTATTTTTGTAATTATTTTTATTGTTCTGAACTTCTCGGCTTTATGCTTTACTGCAAGATATTTAAACGTTGTACAACGTACGTGATACATATACTGTACAGTAGTGTACAATTTTTATTACTATACAATTACTAATTCGTTTTCTATTCTTACACGCGTTTACCTACCTTTACACGTGTAACTACATATACACGTACGTGTACCTATCTATACATGTGTACACCTACCTATACTTGCGTACCTACCCATAGACGTGTGCCTACCTATATATGTGAACCTACCTATACACGTGTACCTGCCAATACACCTATATACCTACCTGTACACGGGTACCTACCTGTACACGGGTACCTCCCTAAACAACCTAAATAACATGTCTTTTTACATTTTTTGCATTCTTTCATGCCCTAAATTTACAAGTACAGGGTTAACCACAAAATATGAGGCTTCAGAGACGACTGTACGGAATGTAAACTGTCTATTTCCTTTTATTCATGATGACCTAGCTCTGCAACTGTAATTTTTTTGTCAAATTTATAATTAAGCCATAAAAAGAGTTTATTAAAGACGAGAGACTAAATTTGTTTTATTGTTGTTAACCCTGTATGTATATATTTCATAAAATACCCCTAGACCTGTTATTTCAACATGTGGTTTATATTTTAAAATATTTCTCAATTGTTAAAACATCCAGACATTAAAATTTTTGTCGAAGATCGACGACAATTTTTATGTCGTCTTTAAATTATCATATTTCGTGGAACAAACTTTACAATAATATATTGTAATGAATATCTGTTAAATATGATAATTAAGAATCAAATATCCAACAATCAACCAAAATAAACAAAAATTAATATTTGATACTTTATTTAAGAAATCCTAACAACACCAATCGTTTAGAATCATTATTTTGTATTTAATATATAAGCACTCTTCAAGATTTACTATCATTATTTCATAAAAAACATTATTTTATTTTTGATACTTCTGCTTTGTGTCTTTTAACTGATAGTACAAAATTAAGTGTTTATTTATTTCAAAATTATCAGAATTTAATTGAAAACAATTATATTCGGTCTAAATATTGTTAATTTTTTTTTATGAAAAAGTAAAAACAATTGAATTCTTCTCAATAATTTCTGTAATTTTTAAATAAAATTTGACAATTTTCTTTCTAGCTGTAAAATTTTCATTTAATTTCTTTTCTCTTGATTTAATCTTTTTTATTCTTGCAAAATCTCGCAACCTCGAATATACAATTATTTTGATAATCTATAATATATACAAGACATGATTATCATAACTATTATTATTTTTATTATTTTCAATATTGTTATTATTATTATTATTATCATTATTATTATTATTATTATTATTATTATTATTATTATGTCTGTGATAGTAGCTGTATGTTGTGTTGTTATCCTAGTATCCTGTATAACTATATTCCTTATTTGGAAAAGGTAAATATATTTCAAACATTATCAACAAACCAAAAGCCAATTATTTTTTCATATTTCATTAGTTTTTTTTTAATGGCTTTAATTTTTGTCCTGACCATTTTTAACTTTGTCCCAATAATTTCATTGTTTGTCCCGAGAATTTTATTTATTTTGATTTAATTACATTATTTGTCCCAAAATTTCACTTTCCATCTCAAACATCTCAAGCATCTCAAGCATCTCAAACATCTCAAACGTCTCAAACATCTCAAACATCTCAAACATATCAAACATCTCAAACATCTCAAACATCTCAAACATCTCAAACATCTCAAGCATCTCAAGCATCACGTGGATTTAACGGTTCTGTCAATATTCCAGAAAGCTGTGACTTTCGATCACATTTTGACCCATTAAACATAATTTGTTAGCCTTTTTCTTAAATAAATTTTTGTTGGCATATACATTTTAAATAAAAATTTATAAATAAACAACTCCGTAAAGTAAATGATTATTGAATTAAAGACCAAAACAGGTTTGATTTCAAATAGAAGAAACCGAATGCTGCTCACTCTGGTTAGTCCGGTGTGGCATCTCAAACATCTCAAACATCTCAAACATCTCAAACATCTCAAATATCTCAAACATCTCAAACATCTCAAACAGCCATTTTCATTAATCGCCTGCACAAGCTCAATCTTATTTGCAACCTGATGTCCTTTGATAATTCATACTTTGACTAGTTGACGAGTTCATAAGTTGCTTGATCCGAACCGGTACAAGGATGTCAATATCTAGTCTTTTACCGTACCGGCCCGTCTAGTGTACCCAGTTAGTGGTTGCAACATAATTAGGCGGGCTGAACTGTAGTGATAAAATATGATCTTGCAGAATTCAGAGTTTCAAATATCAAAGGTTTGTAACATCTGATTGCAAAGATATAAGAATTAGAAAACTAGAGTTTGAGGCGGGTAATATTTTCGTCTATATATAATGGATAACAGTTGTGTCTAACAACAGTTATAAATAAATTCTCAGTGGTATTTGTATTTGTAATAAATATAATAAATTTAAATTTAAATATTAAAAATTATAAAAAGAAAGAAGGGACCTAAATGATCTTCTGTTCCCATTTCATAACTGTGTTTATATTGTGACAGCTTGTCCCCCTTAAACCAGCTAAGATTATCCTATAAAAAATTAAATGATTGTTTAAATAGCATAAGTTATTTCTCATACATTTCCTGTAAACATAAATTTCAAAACAAAGAAATGTAGAACAAATATAATTCTTTTTTGAAGTTTTTTAAAATCAACTAGGAAACCTATTGGGTAAATTCGGAAAGAAATGAAAAAAATACGATTTATAAACTCATATTTCCCCCTTTTCACGAACAGTCCCTTTTGTTTAGAAGACAGAAGAAGAAAAGGTTAGAACATCTTCAATATCGTCTCTCCGACTCCGGCAACTTTGATTATTATCCAACCCGGAGACTAAACAAGTACTACTCAGATACCTCGATACGGAACCAGGTAGTTATAAAAATAATAATAATAATAATAATAATGATAATAATAATAATGATAATAATTATAATAATAATAATAATAATAATAATAATAATAATAATAATAATAAGAATAATAATAATAATTAATATGATAACAACGATAATAATGACAAATCTGTATGTAGATGGAGGATTGCGGAGTATTCTATACTGGATCTCTCCACCCTGTCTATGAGGAGATCCCTACTCCAGTAGAGGGAGAGTATCAGCTCCTTAACTCCGAGTACTCAACTCTACCCTTCTCAGAAACATATCCGATCATACCGGAGAATATGATTAGTTTAATCCCACGACAAGAATATACAACCTTGAAATCAGGGTTCAGTGGCTCCGGGAGCAAGCCTGGATTTAACTCCGGGTTCCGGGGTGGTAGTAGATCGGAATTTAGCTGCTCCGGCAACAAATCTTTCACAGTGTTTCAGAGCAAACCTGGGAAACAAAGCAATGCAAGAACTTGTCAGAAACCCCGGATTGTTGCAGGTTCCGGCGGAGTTTTTATACCTAGAGACAGGGTGAGAGGGGGAGGGATTCGAACCCTGGATACACGTCTCCAGGCTCCGGGTTCATGTGATAGCCTAACATATCAAACCCCGCAAACACGGATCAATCAATGTGATTTTCTGCCCCGAGAGGCCTGGACAGATTTCGCCGAGTGCTCGGCGGATTGGATTGAAGGTGATCCGCTCCGTGATTCAGGGTTTAGGTCTGGAGCCTCCAGGACCTCTGGTTCTAGAATACGAAGCCAGGTTAGATCCAGGGATGCATCTCCTAACCGGAGAAGAATGCATTCTCAGGGCCGGGAGATATCTCCGGCGTGCAATAGTTTAGAGTCTAGTGATGTTACAATATCAACCTCCAGTAGTGAAACATATCCTAAGTCTGGTTCCAATGATCCTGGAGCTTTCTCCGAGGAGAAGTTAGCAAACCTACCTTTACCGGAGCTTTAAACCCAACCTGCATCCTTATATTCTGCTTTGACACTTTACCCAAGAAGAGTGGTTCTAGAACTGTTCTCCAGATACCAGTTAAACCTTACACCTAGTCCAACCTGATATACCTGTGACAGTTGATGGAAAACTAGTCCAGAGTCAGTGACAATCCTGCAGGATTAACCCAATCCTCTTCAATATTTGTGAATTTAGCCTAATCCCTTCGGATTAATCCAGTATTCCTTTTTTGGTGTCTTGCTTTTGAATAAGTTTAAGATTTCATTTTAGAATCAAAATCTTCATTTTTTTGTCCTTCAATCTTTAGGAGAAAACTAGAAACTGCAAGATTCTAAATCTTTCAAACAAAGAATATATATCTGATTTTATTCTATAAAACTCTTAATCAAACCTTGATCAAATCTTTAACTTGAGTTTCAAAACTAGAAAAAGATAAGCTGATTTAAAGTTGAAATTTTTAATTTTTCCTGTTCTTAAAGGAAGAAAAAAGTGTTGAAGGAAAAAATGTGGTAAATTACAACAGTGTAAACTTGTGAGTGTCAAGGATTGAGATCAAATATTACCGCGTAATCGTATATTTATAAAACTATACATCCGTTAATTCATCCAGTTTAAATATTTTAGAATAAACCATACAACCCTTATACTAGTCTTTCATTGGTATAGGACGGATACAGTTAGGTTATAGAAAATATAGGGTAAATTGAGTTATAGAGCTATAGTAGGATAGGTGAAACAGTGAGATCCATAAAACTGACACACAGATATTTAAAGGAACTGTAAGCGTAATTCCAAGTGACCTTCAATGCAAAGGTGGAATTGGCCGATTGACGACGGTACCCTGCAAGGTTTTAAATTAAGATTACGCATATAGTTCCTTTCAGCAATCTATATGTGCATTTCTAGTTGTTATAAAGTAAATTGTTTTACCTGGTTTAACCAGAAACTTGATAATCAACTTATTGAGTATATTGCATAATTGCTGTGTTTTATGTTAATTTGACCATCTATGTCGTCTTCCTATTCCAACGTTTTATGGATCTCACTGTAAAATCGGATAATTTACAGAGAGTACCCAGTGATGCTTTAATATGGTATTGATCTATTATTCAAAATATCAAAATATTTACTTGTTAATTGTTAATATCAACCCGGATTTAAACAGAGCTCTTCAACAAATAGTTAAAAAACATAATTAAATGTTTTGTGTTTCAAAACTTCAAAACTTTAACCCCACCAATCATATTGATAATCTTCGAAATGCTACAAGAGTGTAGTAGAGTGTGGAATGTTGTTTGTAGATCTTAGAGTGTAGAGTGTAGAGTGTAGAGTGTGGAGTGTAGAGTGTAGAGTGTAGAGTGTGGAGTGTAGAGTGTATAGTGTATAGTGTAAAGTGTTAGAGTGTAGAGTGTAGAGTGTATAGTGTATAGTGTAAAGTGTAGAGTGTAAAGTGTAGAGTGTAGAGTATAGAGTGTAGAGTGTAAAGTGTAGAGTGTAGAGTGTGGAGTGTAGAGTGTCTAGGTATAGTGTAAAGTGTAAAGTATAGAGTGTAGAGTGTAGAGTGTAGAGTGTAGAGTGTAAAGTGTAGAGTGTAGAGTGTAGAGTGTCCTCAGAATTCAAAAGGTTTTATTATTGAATCAAGAATTTGGTTTTAACAGAAAATAGTATTTTTTCAAAGGCTCCATCTTTCTCCTCTTTCGATTCGGGGGAAAAGAAGTGAAGAAGTGAAGAAGTGAAGAAGTAAAGAAGTGAAGAAGTGAAGAAGTGAAGAAATGAATAAGTGAAGAAGTGAAGAAGTGTAGAAGTGAAGAAGTGAAAAATTGAAGAAGTGGGAAGTTTATCCCGTATATTCTTGGATATAAACATTTATCATCTCCAGAACATTAATTGTAGACTCTACGCCAGTTTTTTACCTTTCTGTGGACACCAATAAACATTCCGGATACATTCACCCAATAATTACGAAGTTTGGGAGAGAGAGAGAGAAGGGGAATATAGAAACTAGGGGGGATGGTTTTATGCAGCTCCCTATATCCAATATCTATCCATCCCATTATAGGTCCATTAATACATCATCTATCTATTCATTGAATCCAGCTTTAAATCTAATACTCTTTGGAACTAGAAATTTTCTTTTAAGAAATACCAATTTTCAATCTGAAAGTTTTGGCTTCAAATTATAATTTCAAGAGAATTAGGCAGTATGGTAGTCAAAGTGCTCGGCCACTAACCTTTCCTAACTGCGATGCTCAGTTCATAAGTTTTCTTGAATGAACCTAAATATCTAGATGCTAATAATAATATTTTTTTGGCCGATATTTGTATGGTGCTGTATGATTAGTATACTTATATGCATATTATTATATATCAGCAGCGCTCGGCCCCCTACCCTGTCTTAGCCGCGGTGATCGGCGTGGCCCCATATCCTGTCTTAGCCGCGGTGTTCAGCTCGGCCCCCTAGCCTGTCTTAGCCGCGGTGTTCAGCTCGGCCCCCTAGCCTGTCCTAGCCGCGGTATTCAGCTCGGATTCCGGAAAGACAAATTTCTTTTTCTTATAATAGGGGGGGGATTGAGAAATTTTCTGAAATTTATTTACGTATTCTAAAAATATTATAATTATAGTATAAGATCTGATATCAAATATGTATTAAGATGGTGCAGTGGTAAATATTAAATAAATTTGATTATCTTACAATATGTGGTATACACTGTTCTATAGTCTATAGAGAATACTCAGTCTATAATTATATTACAGGCCTTTATATCTTTCTCTTTATCTTTAGCCCAGTATTTTTGTTTTTATATTATCCGTCTATACAGATTGAAAAAAAAGGCTGAGCCTAATTAAACGAAATGAGCTTTTTTTCTTTTGAATGATTAAGCTCGTAAAAAAAGAGAAGGCTGAATAATACCATATTTTTTTTGCTTCTAAAAAACTTTAAAAGTAAAAAAGTTTTTTATTTATTTTATTTTGGATTTTTGTAACATTAAATGAATTTTGATATTTTTTGTTTTTGTTTTATAAAAAAAAAATATTTTAGATAAAAATGTAAATACATCTATAGAAAATCAAAAGCTTTGAAAGTAAAAATCAACCCACGAATGAATCACAAGTAGAATGAATCAATGTCAAAAGTTCAAAATGTTTATTAATTTACAAATTGATATATTGTGTTTTTCTATATTTGTATAAATATGTAGGTTTGTAGTCCCTCAAATTATACCAAATAGAATGTAAACCTGTAGAATAGCAATATGCTAATTTTTGCACAACTTTAAGCATACATAATCTATCCCTGCATCCTAGATACCAAGGAGGGATTAGCTTTTTTCTTATTCAACCCAGAACTGTAAAAACTGTCAAACTAAAGTAAACTGCAAATATGATTAATATATTATATGCTTTGAATCATGATTCTGCACTTAGAGCTATTGAGAAGAAGAACAATGTTTAGATTTTTAAATATTTAAACAAATTTTTCTTTTCTCATACTTGTGCTTAAAATTAGAGCAACAAAGTTTTGCCATTTTCATCGCTTAAATTTTACGTTCTCGTTCTGTCAGACAGTGCTTAAGATAATAATTGTTGACACAAACTTATCTGCTATAAGGGCAAAAAGTGTTAAAGATTCATAACTTTAAAGGTCGTTTTCACTAAACAATCTTAATTAATAAGAAGTTTAAAATGGAAGACAAATTAAAAATTAAGTTGTAAACTAAGAAATCTATAAGAAGACGAGGTTTCTTTTAAAAGTTGTTAACTATGAAATTTGATTTATTTTATACCAAGAATCATTTTTAATTCTTCAAATTCTGAAACTTTTCTAAAATTAGAAAAATTGAAAATTTGCAAACCGCTGTTTTGAAATTTAAATCCGGATTTGCGAGCACGTGATACCAATCCTGAGAAACATGGCGGCTGCTGATGAAATAAATCCGTGAGTTTGTTTAGATTTAAAAGTGTACAGTGAACACCACCATTCCTGAATAATCCTCATAGGCTGGATTTTTAATTAAATATTCCCACAATACAAAGACAAAAGAATTGAAATTTGAGTCTTTAACACAAACTCTGATTTTCTTATCCCCTTTTCTTTGCAACCCAATATTGTAGATGTTTCAAACTAGATGAATTCTGTTAGATCAAATCATGCATCTAAGTTTGAAATATCAAAGATTTACACCATCAGGTTACAAAGATATAGGGATTAGAAAATTTGAGTTTGTGGCAAAGACTCAATTCCTTTTAAAATTAAAATACGTAGGTTTCTATGATTCGCTGTTCAGAGATTTATTTGCATAGTGTTTAACGAAGCCTGCAGTTTTTCTCCTCGTAATTCAAGGAGAACCTATAAATAACCCCAGCTTTTTATCAGAATATATTTTTGTGAAAGCTCTCAGTAGAGAATAGTGATTTTATAAATCAAAACTGAGAAGTATCTATCTATCCATATATAATCTTAACTTTAATTTTTTGGTTTAAATTTAAGACTTGAACCAAAAAACTGAAATAATAAGTTTTTAATAAGAAAAGCTCATAAAAATATCAAACAAACATTAAAGACGTAGTTTAAAAAAATGAAAAGGCACAAACTAAACAATTATTACAAAATGATTAAAAAAACGAAAAAAGAAAGATTCTATATTCAAAATTTTTAAAAATATAACTTTTGTTTGGCTTCTTTGACAACACGAATAAACTAGGTAAAAAATTTAAAATAGATTAACCCTGAGGTCCACTTATAAGTCGTTACTATTTAGTGACAAACTATTGAGCTAAACAGTAAACAAGGTTGAAGTGGGGTGTATACTGGTTTCTTTATAATATATGTATAATTTGAGCAACACGAACACATATTGTAGTTTATACATCTTGAGTCACGTTTCAGTTATTCTTTTATTGTATGTCATTTAATATGGTAGAGACAAAACTGAATATCCTGTATCCTGTATCCTGTGTTCTGTGTGGTGTATTCTGTATCCTGTGGCATCCTGTATTCTGTATCCTGTATAAAATTATAAATGGTTGACTAAATAGTATACTGCATACTATGCAGAGATATTGCATATCGTATAATCGTGGTCTTGTGTTACACTGCTATTAGCAGGTTTATAATTACTATTCTAAACCCAGCTGTATAATAATATTTTGTATATTTTACATATCCATATACAACCATTTTATACATTCATATACAACCATTTTATACATTCATATACAACCATTTTATACATTCATAAACAACCATTTTATACATTCATATACAACCAATTTATACATTCATATACAACCATTTTATACATCCATATACAACCATTTTATACATTCATATACAACCATTTTATACATTCATATACAACCATTTGATACATCCATATACAACCATTTTATATATTCATATACAACCATTTTATGCCTCCATATACAACCATTTTATACATCCATATACAACTATTGTATTCATCCATAAACAACCATCTTATACATCCATATACAATCAGTTTATACATCAATATACAATCATTTTATACATCCCTATACAACCATTGTATTCATCTAAATACAACCATTTTATACACGCATATACAACCATTTTATACATCCATATACAACCATTTTATACATTTATATACAACCATTTTAT